TTGCAAATTCTATTGAAAACATTCACAAAATTATTCTTTCTTGTAGTGTTTTGGTAGAAAATTACGCCTCCTTCACATTTCATACTTAAAGGAAGGAAGCGTATATTTCGGTTTTAAAAAACTTTATAGTTATGAGATTTTTTACGACTATGAAATGTCCATTTATAATAAATCGCATCCGTCAACTTGTTTCTTTTGCCTATAATTTATACAGCATGATACACATATATTGCAACATTTTATGAGACCTATATGACCTCTTTCCCCCCTCGTACGGAGAAACATATTTTACTCAGACATGATGCATACAGCATGCAGTTTGCAAACCTTGAACGCAAGTCTAACGGTCGGTAGGTTTCAAAATTATTCGGTAATTTCGAAACTTTTAAGATCCGAAGATACCCTTTCTTTAAGTATAATATTTCAAGAAAGCGTAACTTGCTAGCCAACTAGTACAAGATCAAATATTTTCATGCATGTCTTCTATGAAATATATTTGCATTTATAAGGGCAGTCAAAAGCACAGAATCAAACGCATAGTACTAAAGTAGCCATTTTTAAAGAATGTACTTTCCGTAAGCGGTCGGAGAGAAGCTCACCAAAAAGCCGGCATGACTGAAATGGCTTGAGATTAGGCTGTACGATAATCCGTATTACAACCCTACTTAATGCCGGTTTGCGAGAGATTATCAATCTTCGCATATTGTGGCATTGTACATGAGCCACTGAGGCAAGTTCAATTTCCGAAGAAAGCCAGAACGGGGAATAGGACACCCCTCTCGCAGTGTACGCTGCCCCTGCTGTCTAGACATCACGCCAGATGCTCCCACCAGCCACCGGTTAAGGTCACAGACAGCTGTCCAGACTTGCTTTGTGCCGATTGGCCCTCCGTAACCGATGACAAACCCGCCTTGTCTTATGAGAAATATTTACGGACGATCCAGGTGAGAAGGCTTGTGGCATAACCAGTCACTAGGAGGGAGTACGGCAAAACCTTCAGCAGTCAAATCAGTTAACCGCTAGACTGATATAATCCAAGGAACAGGATTTTTGCCCTTTCTGGTTCTCAATGCACGTCCTGCCTACATGCAGTCTTCTGTTCTGGTATAACAAACACCACCCTGCGCCAAACTTAAGGGAGCTTATAATTAGGATTAATGTAAATGGCTCGTTTTAATTAAAAAGGTACAGTATGGCGAGTGCTGAAAGCAAAATATCACAATTCGCGAAAGACGGGTAATCACTCGCAAACCAACCTTAAGTAGGGTTGCAGTATTGATTATCATGCAGTCTAACCTCAAGTCTTTTCAGTCACGCCAGGATGCCGGCTCTTTAGTGAGCGTCTTCCTGTCCGCTTATAAAATTTAGATTCTACAAGAAAGGGCTACGTAAGTAGTATGCATTTTTGTCACGGATTTTGACTGCCTGTATATATTAAAATCTATTTTATGGAATAAATGCACAAAAATATTCTTTACCGTACTCGTTTGTTAGAAAATTACGCCTTCCTTAAATTTTATGCTTAAAGAAAGGCTATCTTTCGGTTTTAGAAAAGTTTCTAAATTGCCGAAAATTTTTTAAATTTACCGGCTACTAGACCTGAATTCAAGGTTTTCAGACAGCATTTGTGTACATCCTGTTTAAGGGGAAAAAGTTTTCCCTACGGATTGAGGAAGAGGTCGCCTAGTTCTCATAAAATATTGCAACAGATGTGAATCATGCGGTCATTAAATGCAGCATTAACAAATTGACGGATACAATGTATGATGAATGAACACCTCACAGTCTTCAAAAAGCTCATAAGTAGAAATGTTTCCAAAACCGAAGAATACCCTATCTTAAAGAATAAAATTTAACGAAAGCGTAATTGCCTACCAAACGAGTACGTGTATGTTTTCTAAAAGATGTATTTGAATTTATAGAGGCAGTCGAAATAAATTAGCCAAATGCATACCATTTACCTGGCTATTTTTTTCCAGATTTAAATGTCCGTAAGCGGCCAGAAAAGAGCTCATTAAAGAGCCCTTACCCTGGCCTGACTGAAAACATCTGAAATTAGAATGCAAGATAATCAGTATTACAACTCTACTTAATATTTTTTTGCGACTGATTACCAGTCTTTCAAAAATGGCGGCATTTTGCTTGCAATACTCGCCATACTGTAGGGTTGAGACAGGGGTTAGGCTTCACTTTTTGGTTAGGACTAGAACACGGTACCCGGGTGCCCATCCTTCAAATGAGCGCAAGGTTACGTGTTCTAAGTTGGGAGTTTCTCTGTGCCGTGTGTTCCTCGCTTACCCTGCACTGCGCTGTGACTCAGAATCGTTAAAAGTACTTGCTTCATCGCCTAGATATTTGCACCCACACACATTCTACCGGCTATCGATCCCAAGTGGATTTCACTGTCAATCATCTTTATTGCCCTACGCAAAGCACAACATACGGTTTTGTCACCCCCTTTGCATTGGCGAGTCATCAGCGGACGCTGTCGTTTCTAGCTTGGCGAAGAGCAAGGACGGGCCTGAGCCAAGTACATCTTTAGAATATGTTCAAGTAGCAAAATATACGCGCTTTTACGTTTTGCACTGAGGGTCTGTTAAAACCACGAAATCTTGTCAGGTCTTCCCCTTCCCACCTACATCACGAAGCTAAAATGCAAGTAGTTTATTTAAACGTTCCACTATTTTGTTTCTGCACAAACTATAGTTTGCCAGAGACGGTCAGCGGAAAAATGAGCCAACCATAAAAATAAATTGCTACACCCTTCGAGGTTGGTATCCGAAAGCATGAAAATATTGCATCTGCGGCACGCTAACATTTTAGCCGCCAACTCATCAGCTCTAGAGGTCTTCCTGTGTTTGATGCACATAAAGGATGATTAAAACGGATGGTACCACTCTTGAAAAAGTCCAGCAACGGTCGGCCAATGAAAGAGTGAACGTTTGTAGGTGTTTGCAGAAGAGAATTATCGTGCTTCACAAAAGCAGAAAAAAATTCTTAGAACAAATCCAAACGCGTGCTTTTTCTATAGCAGAAGACAAACGTCGACTGTCGGTCAGATACAAAAAACCGTGTCATCGCATGCAAGACGCACTAACTTCAAATGAATCCGAACTCTGCATGCTTCCCTCTACTGAATAAATTCAAGAACGCAACAAGTACAAACAGAATTGCTTATGGTAGCCTTGTTTGAGTATCCTTTGATTCAGCACCCTCTCATAGCGTGTACGTCAGTTTCCAATGATAATAACAGACCCACAGACAGTCGCGCAAGACTGCAAGCTTGGCAGACGAGCATAAGATGAGTCAGAGCAGTGATGCTGATGATGGACAGCCACACAGCCACATTTATTATGGGCAGCTGCTATTCTTATGCACTAATTAAGCAGCAATATAGGTTATACTTGCCAGAATAGCAGTTTCAAAGCTTTAACCAAGAAGAAGAATATATGCTTGCTCGAACAAGACTTTTTTCAGCTGGCGTTCCGAAACCTGCCGCGGATCCTTGATTAGAGATAGTAACAGAACAGTATTTTACTATTTCTATTGCAGGGAGTAAAATATTGGCAT